ATTACTTGAAATTATCTGACTTAGCTCTAAAAACCCAAGCTGGAGTCCCATGATACCTGAGAGCCACCAACAACAGGTTTGGAAAAATCAGAAATTAGATTTTACCTTCTCTCACAAATCCTTTTCTTTTGCCTATTCTTTTACACTTCTTTTTAGAATTGCTGCGAAATTCCAATACTCTGAAATGCCTCAGTTATCAGGATGGTTCACCCAGGGTCTGCTGAGGTGATGAGGTGGAGTTGTCCATTCCCCTCACTCCAGGAGGCAGACATTAGGTGGACAGAGTAATTCAGTTACAGATAATGAGATAATTGTGATACAATTCCTGCAACTGGATTTATTTCCGTGTCTCAAGACAAGGTCTTGAAATAGAGAAAGATGAAGAGGGTTGGGTGGCTTCACCTCATCTAAGGGTGCCTTCACTTGAGTGCTGGAAGATTTGAGTTCAGCTGGTGTGGTACTTGTTGCACCTGGAATAAGAACTGGTACGTTTGAATTTTGTAAAATATATTCTCCTTGTTCTACTTCTGTTGAAGTGCTCCTGGCAATAAGTACCTCAGTGTCACGGCCTGCCAACACTGTGTGTTGAATCAAATGCAACTTTTAGAGCTAAGAAAATGCAAAAGCATCCTGAATCCTTCCAGTAGACTCGCTTCTCCTGATCTAATAAAAATGAAATAAATATAATAAAAATGCTTTGGCATTTCCCTTGAAGTGGGTGGTATTGTGTCCTCCAGTTTTTTACCACATGGCAGACACCTGTACATTGATTTGTTGGGCAGGGAAAACAGCCCAAATGCAGAATTAACATTTGTTCTCTTCAACAAAACCAGAATCTGACAAGAATATGTTATATCTCAGACCTTATTAACTGAATCAATGCTGTCACCATATTAATAAACACTCTCTTGCTCTCAGACATGTCCCTCAGTATTCCTTTTAGCCCACCATTAACTCTTCCAAGGCAGCACACAGTGTTGGAGAGTCCCCCTGCCCTGGGATCAGGCTCCAGCAGTGACCCCAGTGACTCTTCTTTACTGGGGTAACCAGTGGTGGCCCTGCACAGTCACACTCTGGCTCTGGGGGCAGCTGCTCCCAAATCCCCCCTGGCAAAAGTCAGGAGACCTGCCAGAGCTCCGAGATTTGACCAAAACCCCCAGGGATGGGCTTACAGTGATTGCAATATCACTCTAATCAACAAAATAGGAGCTCCTTTTCATCAAAACTTAATCACAGGACTTCACTTGTCTCTAAGTTCCTTCAGTTGCCTAGACAGATGAGAGCACAATCATATAAATAAGAAATGACAGTTTACCAAAGAAGGTTAACATAAGGTCACGACCTTTTTCTACTTGACTTCTGCAGCTTATTCATGTGTGAAAACACGCTTTTGTAGCTGTAGCCTCAGCATCCCTTACAGATCTGGACTTGTGCCAACAACTGAGCTCTAAAATTACCATTTAAAATACCATTTTAAATGGTATTTATGTTCAGAAAATACCATTTCTGCATTTTGTGATGCTCGAGTAGAACCGCTTTGCATTAGAATAAAATATGAAATGAGGATATCTCTGCATTTCACAGCCTATCTCGCTGAAATAGTGGTCCCTGTGCTCCACAAACAAGGAGGTACTGGACACAGCCCCATTTCCTCTCCCTTCCTCAGACCAGGTCACACCTCTCTGAGCAAACCCAGCCATGGTCCCTGCCCAGGCTGCCCCACACGGATGCACAGGGCACAGCATCAGCCTGACAGTCCTACACTAGTAAATGTCAAGTATTAATTTGTCACATTATTTGTGCAGTGATTTAAAGCCAAATCCCGTCTCATCACTCATTTCCATCAGGCACAGGAGGGGCGGGAGGGAAGCAGGAGCTTTCTGTCACAATCTGAAATGCCTGCGTGAGGAGCTGCCAGGAAATATTTCTCTGTCAGAGAAGCAAACTGAAGTTCTGAGCATGAAGGCTGGAGAGTGAAAGCTGCAGTACAACATGGAGATAATTAGTTTTGAAAGGCTAATCAGGTCACTGCTCTGGCTGGCATTTCTATGGAGATGAACAGGCTTTCAGCTCACCACATCTTGCCTCTCAATACGAGTATCCCTCACCAAAGTGAAGTAAGATTTTACAAACTCCGTAACTCTGAATGACATAACCTGCCATAAGAATCCCCCAAACAGCCAGAAAAGAACCTACAAATAGCCAGGAAATATCCCTACAGCCCTTGGAATGAGGAGAGACCCCACAGCACGGGGTGTCCCAGGCTGTGATGCTCAATCCCCTTCCCCATCTGGGTCCAACCAGCCACAGAATCACTCAAGAAGGTGAGGGTTTAATCAAAGCTGATAGCAATAACTATTTTAAGATTATCTCACCTATTTTATGCTGTTGTCTTGTGCATATTCATGGAGCCTTGTGTCTTGCACACACCTCTAGAAGGGGAGATGTTGAGCATTGTCAGCTTGTTCAAGCTGTGAAATTAGGCCTTCGGGTCTCAAAAAAAACTTGCTCACAAACCCCCAGCAATGCTTGATCAAAACATCAGTGCACTTCAGTACGTTGTTTGTTAGTGAATCTTTATCCACTTTCCCTTCCTTAGCATTAAACAGCTACAAATGGCTAAAAAAATATTTTTAAAAACCCAACAGTTCTTTCCTGACATCTTTCCCTTTTGTCAGAAGGATGCTCTATTTTGTTTCTGAAAAACACAATCAATCTTTCCAGCAATAATGACTCGCTGAATAAAGTCTGTGCTACTTCCATGCTGCTTTTCTAACAATACACCTTATTTGTACCCTGGCTTATAAAAAAAACCCTGTACACTGATCGATCATTGCAGGCACCAGTGAAATAAAACCAACCATGAGACAAATAATGGGAGCAGAACAATAGTGCACATCTATTTAATGCCTGAGTTTAGACTAAGGGGTAACATAAAGCACAATGATGCTATAAAGGCAGAAAGAATGGAACAACACAGAACAACAATAAACTTTATTCCTCCAAAACCACTGGTTAACCTGAGTGAGGATCTGTTTTACTCCTATTTGCAAAAATTACTCCTTTGAGCAATGCAGAGGCATCAATAAAACCCCAGTTCACGCCCTAGAAGACCTCACAGCAGCCCACACAGTTTTGTTTGGGAGCTCACTTTTCCCTAATGTAGTAACCAACCACTAAGTTACTCATATTGTAACACCTGATGGCCAGAAGTTGGCTGAAATTGGCCTCCTTGCAGGTCAGCACAGCCAAATTCTCTCTGTCATTGTCACCTCTGCAAAAGTTCAGGTGTATTTAGTGACACCACCACGTTCACTCTGTTCTATGACCTGAGTGTTTTCAGTTCATTGTGTTTTTCCATTTTTGCCTGAAGATTACAAAAAATGGCTTCAAAACAGCTAATAATATATTCCCCCGCATTTCCCAGTCAGATAAAATATAGTAAAAAAATCAAATACCTTGATCTCTGTTTGAGTTTTTAAAGACTGTCCAAATGCTAGAATGTAAAGCGTATTGTAAGAACTGAAATATGCAGAAGGAGCACTAACTTGACTAACTTATTAAAATATGACTAGTCTAAAGGAAGAATGACCCTTGCATGCTAAGGATTATGATGAGTAGGACTCCTGCTTTCAAAATCCTTTGGGTTTGGACAACTTTTGTGCACTGAAAGTAGTAAGTAGTCATCAAAACACAGACCTGTGCACTGGCTCATGGGCATATTGCCAGTCAGTCTTCAAAATTAGTAAGAGAAGTGAAGTAGCAGAGATCTGTGAATCATAAATGATATTCCTGGGTTGAGTTCTCCAAAGGCCAAAATGAAAACATGGAGGACCATAATGAAATACTTAAATCAAAATAAAATAACCATCTACAGCTTATTTACACTGTCAAGGTGGATCTCAACTGATAGGTTGCCATTGAAAATAATTCCATCATTTTTTAGTGAAAAAAGGAGTGCAGCCAAATAAATTATAAAGTTAGGGTAAATCATATGACTACAGGCAAGAAATACAGTGCTTTATACAAACCTTAAAAAGGAGTTGGACAAAGGTAAAATGAAATCTTGGAAGAAAGGAATTTGTGAGATACTGTCCAATGGGAAAAGCCAGAGAACACAGTTTCATGTGAAAAGATGATAATACAGTTTATGAAAAGCTGCCCTGAGATTAAAAAAGATCATCTCTGATGCATTTACTGCAGCACTGAAAGGCAGGGAGGTGCAATCCAGGCACACAGCAGAGAACACCTGACCATGTGGCAGCACATCCCCATTACCTGTGTCAGGGGAGAGCTCAGGAAGAAGGAACTGCTCTGCCCTGCAGTACAGCACACCTTAGGTACCTAACACCTGACCTTCTGCTGCACCTGATGATGCACAAAATGCACTGACTGTAGGTCAGCACATCATCTGGGCTTGTTTACACTCAGTCTGTCTGTCAGTGCACCTTTAGGAAGTCTGGCCATAATTCAATATGTGTTCTAATATAAGTTTTTGCATAAGAATGAATTTTACCCTATCATGCACTAACTAGACTTAAATTTCCCTTAGGAAAAAGACAAATGGGTTTACATAGCATGTGGTTTTAAATCCTTTTTTATTCAGTTAATCTCTAGCTGTGGAATTGTGATTGAAATGTGAAAATGTATGTGTATTTTCTGATAAGAACCATTTTGCTTTAGAAACAGATGAAATATTACCAAGCGTATTCACTTTCTTCAAGTTTTTAAACTGATGACGGAAATCCCATAATCAGAACATGGCACAGCCAATCCAGGTTAAGTGATAACATTTTTTTCAACAAAATAAAACAAAACCCCAACCCTTTGAAGTGTTCTTACAGTAACATCTTCATAATCCAGGCATGAGAAGACCTGCACTCTCAACAACTCTGAGCACACGCTCTTCAGCTGGCTCCACATAAAAGCCAGCGTTTTCCTTCCCCCTCCTCAGTCTGCTGATTTCCTTCACAGCAGTGAGACATGGCACAGAGCATTACCTCCACAGGATTTTCCATCTTCCCCCAGTTTCTGGCCAGCTGGACACTTGCAGTGGTAGCTGCCGATGGTGTTGCAGCAGCGGTCGTGGCAGCCCCCGTTCTCCGTGCTGCACTCGTTGACATCTGCCAGGAGAAAGCACAAGCAAGCAGTGAACAGTGGGCACTGACCACAGCACCTGAAGAATCTGAGGTCAGTTGTGTCTGACTGATGTGAAAAAATGAGAAAGTTTCTGAGATAAACAGCTCAGGACCCTGAAGTTAAGCCCAGGAGCAGACTCCCAACGCCGCTGCTGAGCCACTCCACCCAACCAAGTTGTGCCAGAGGAGGTTTAGATTGGATATCACAGAACATTTCTTCATTGCAAGGATTGCCAAGCACAGAACAGGGTGCCCAGGGAAATGGTGGAGTCACCATTCCTAGAGGGATTTAAAACACAGATATCATAGAATCATTACAGCTGGAAAAACCTCTAAGATCCTCCAGCCCAACCATTAGTGGATGTGGCACCTGGGGACATGGTTTAGTGGTGGGCTTGGCAGTGCTGGGTTAATGGTTGGACTCAATGGTCTTAAAGGTGTTTTCAACCTAAAAGATTCTGTGATTGTAAGAGTTGCAAGGGTGGGATTTTCCTCCTCCCCTTCTGCACAAGGTGAGTGCAGAGCCCACCTGGCTCTGGCTGCAGGCTCTACCCAGCTTGCCAACTTCCACCTCTGGAACAACCTCTGTACAGTCATTTCCAGCAGCCTCACTAGGTTGCTTCTAGAAGCAGTGGCAGAGATGAGAAACCTCTAAAAGATGGTAAGATTTTAAATCAATTATGGTCCTGCTTTCTGTCAGGTGCTGTGATCTACACACCTGACTCATCCACCTTGTAAGCTTGTGTTTTCCTGCATGCAAAATAGAACTTTACACATTACAAATGAAGAACATTAAAGAACTAAATTTAAAAATAAATAACTAAATAGACAGCCAGTGGCAGGGGAAAAAATCAATAGCAAAGACATTCACTTACATATCTACTTAAATACCTTACATAAAAAATTCCAAAGAAATATGATAGAAACCATCAGGCCAGCAGTGCTGCTCTGCTGAGCAGGAGCAGAGACAACAGACAGTATGGAGCTGATTTCTGAAATAGAAAATTTGTTCAAAGGGGATGGCAAATGTAACAAGCCCAGCAGGTATTTGCTGCACTGATTCCATGCACACTGAACTTAGGAAATTCTTTCTCCTTCACTTTGAAGTGTTCATGTCCCACACACACACAGTCCAGCACTGCAAAGGCAAGCAGGGATGGACCTGTGAGAAAAATGGGCTCAGGCGTGGCTTGGCTTCAATTTTTGGGCAAATATTTTGATCTGCCTTGGTGGCAGAGCCAGGGATGAGGGGACACCCCACCTCCTCCAAACCCAGGCTGAGGGTGCAGGTGGCAGATCTGACAGGCCTTTGGCACTGGGAGGGAGCTCACATTGCTTTCAGTGAGACAGCAGCAAAGTCAGGAGGAGGAGAATTAAGCAGCAGAAGATAAGCATCATCATGACTGAAAAAACCACAGGTAGTTACTTCGTATTACTGGCACTCTTCATTCCCACGTGGGAAATGAGGCTTTAAAAAAAGCCATTTAATTAGTTTTTAAAGAAAAATAATAATAAAAAGAATTTCTCATTCATGTAAGAGGGGTGAGAGCCTTTCAACTGCAACCTTTTCGCATTAAAGACTAAGATTTACCAAGGTTTGTTAGTTCTTTGATGAGCTCAAGCTTCACTTGACTGGTTCATTTCTGATCCTGGCTAAAAGCCACAGGTTAAAAGAAATTTTTGAGGAGGTTTCAGACTATTAGAAAAGCTAAAAGAAAAGTGTATCCTGAAACACCAACATTTGCTGAAGTGTAGCTGAAGAGGCACAAACCCACTAAACCCAACTCATTTCTCTACAGCTTTAGATTCAACGCAATGACCGACAAAATGATAATTTCTTTGTCCTCAGCGATACTGGGAAACACTGGCAGGCTATAAAGAAATAAAATAGAATTCAGTTATCTCAGAGCTGCACAGCAAACCAAATCCTAACCCGCGTGAAGCCAACGAGGCTCCTCTCGGTTTCACGCGGACGCGATTTAAACAGAAACTTCTCCCCGAGAAAAACACTCCCCCCCTTCCCTCCCCTCCAAAAACAAAAGGCACCAAAATAAGAACGTGCGTCTGCTCGCTTCTCCTCGGCAAGAAACAGGGAGAACATATGACAGGAGACAGATTTTGGACGTGTTCCTCCAAGCACTGGGGGAGCCACGCGAGCGCCCGGCGCCGCACGCGCCCCTTCCAAGGGATTTACTCCCCCCAGCTCACAGACATCTCGTGGTGATGAACACCAGTGAGCCACCAGCTCCACAGCTTCCACTTCTATTTATACTAGCAGGATTGGAAACTAATAAAACCTCCTTGCTCTTTTTTTTTTTTTTTTAATTTTTTAACAAAACTAAGGGGAGAACTGTTCTTTTGTTCCTTAGCACCCACAATGCTACGTGGCCTCCTTGCATAAAATATCAACTGGGTGAGGTGGTCTAGGATATACAGCCTGATTTATTAACACTAGTGTCTATATTTTGAACCAAAATATTGGAATAAAACCTTTCTAGCTGAGGAGCTCATTATTATCCCCTTGATTTCACCATTCGGAAGTGTAGGGCTGTTGCATGCTAATATATAGGAAGTTTCTCCTTTGATTGCAGAGTGTTCCTATTAGCAATTAAAAAAAATATTTTCCTTCCTTGTTCAGCATAAAACGCTGTGGTCCAGCTATTGGTGCTGTGTGACTGAAAACCTCATTTTCTCCTTCTTCTAACCCTACCTTCTTCATGCTCTGTCCAGGATTTCCTTGTCTCTGCCTTAGTATTTGATGAAATATTTTCATGCATTTCTTTGCTGCTTTTTACACCAGAAACCCACCACTTCTTCTGTTATACTCACAAAACCTGACTTTCCATCTCCATGTGTCTTTAAAACAAGCACCTTAGTTAAAGAAAACCATCATAAAATAAACTATGATTTAATTTCCGAGTTAAGACACCAAAAAAAGCGTTTTTGATACAGCTTTATTAGAGAGCAATCACATTTGAAGGAATACAGTGAATAGGAATAAGTCTCACCAGTTTTAGCCCTAATGCTATGAAAATTTGCTCTCTGAGCATCTGCATCTTTTGCTGTCCTGTCTCCTATTCAAGACCTTCCCCACTGCCTGCTCCCTGCCAAGCTGTTTGCTGCAACTCCATAATAAAGGTCAGATGTTGCCTCAGTCCAAAGAAGCACAAAAATAAATGATCTGAATGTGAAGTAATAAAGAATGTGTTTTACATTTGTAAAAGGCCGGGTCATAGAGATTTTACAAGCCACAATCAGCTGTTCCACATTCCTAAAACAGAGTAGTCAGGATTTTAAAATCTGATTACAGCTTTGCCACTTAGAAAAAAAAAAAAAAGGAAAGTTAAAATAAACTCAACAAAAACAATTCTGTCAAATGATAAATTTCTGTCTGCTTTCCATATTCAATGTCACTCAAGGTTGCAAATATATTTTGCCTTTTGAATAGTGAGAAAAATGACAGAAAATTTCTGACACGTAACAAGTCTGCCACGTTAGGTCTGACAAAAGTTCAATGTTATCAAGCCTATCAATCCATCTGTAATGACATGCTGTAGGCAATTTAAAAAAAATAAAAATGTGATGTTTGCTACTGCAATGTTTCACGTTTATTTATAGAGCCAATGTTGCAACACAAAAACATTATCCATGGGACATACTGGATGTGAGCCTTCAATCTTGCCATGGGAAAAATAATTGAAAACACCTTGCATCTAGATTAACTTGATATCAACTTTATATATGATCTGTCTAGCTTACATGTGAGGGGGAAAAATATTCTACAATATATTTTAAATCCAGTAGTATGTTAAAATGTGGATTGTTGACATGTGCCCATGTCCCACACTCCCTGCACTCGTGGTATTACAGAACAGAGCTACATGAAAAGATGTCTTTTCTCCAAAAATTTTATAAAATACTTGATATGGAAAGGAACATACCTTTTTTTCATGAAGCAGACCACCTTTGCCCAATTAACTCTGCCTAGGAACTACATGCTAAATAGAGAAGGACAATTCCAATCCCTTCACTTCTCTCTTCTTGTTAATGCTATTCCATCTGAGAATGCCACACATCCTCAGCTCCAGGGAAAACAGCCCTTCACCAAGTTTTTATGAAAATGTAGGTGATTTCAGATTTCCTACAAATAAATGGAGGCTTTATGTAAAAGCAGACACTGGACTAAGTGCTCTTCATTGGTTATTCCAGCTTGAAATCTAACAGCAGCGACCTGCTCTATCACTAGCTCTCAAAAGTAGGAAGCAGGTGAAGAAAAACCAGTGTGAAAAGCAGAAATATGAATTGGCATTGGGGCAGAAGTCTCCCCTCCACTGAGCTGCTGGTGAGGGCTGCAGCTCTGGAGCTCAATTCAGCATCTCTAAAATCCAGTGAGGGATTAAACCTGCCCTGAGCACAGAACTGCCCAGAGCTGGGGAAGGAGAAAGCACCTGCACGGATCAGGGGTTCAGCTCTGCAGCAGGAAAACCAGGGAGTGAAACACCATCTAATTTTGGCAACAGTTTGTGTGTTTAGGTCAGTGGAACACAGCAGTTTACTCACTGCCTGCAGGCTAAGGTATTTTTATTTTCCCCATACAACAAGTTTATGCCATATTCATTAATATAAAGACTAATTTTTAAGATAACAAAAGGAATCTCTTAACTGCCACGCAGTATTTAAAACCCATTTTCTGTATTTATCAGCTGTATATGAGCAGCAACTTTATTTATTTAAGGCAGCCACATGCAAAGTTGCCATTTGGGTGCCCAGCTCTGGGGCTAACCCGTGCTCTGACCCGTGAGCCACTGACTCCAGCACGTGTCTGAGCTCCCTGGACTTGTAATAAATCACTGAAGTGGAATAAAATCTGTAAAATCATTCCCATTGTTACTGCAATCCTGCCTGAACAAAGCCCACCAGCACGGAGTGAGGAGGTGATTTTGATTAGTTTAAAAGCATTAGGGTAACAAACCCTGCTTCAATCA